CGCTGCCTGTGAATTCTATATTAGGGTCAATGACTTTTTGGCCATGCCCATTTTCCGACACAAATGGATACAGTACTTACTTGGGGCGTCATCTCCTTCCGAGTGTAGGCCAAAAAGGATATTCAGTCCCAGGTGTTGGCAGAGACAGTCCTGAAGCTCTTCATTGGCCGAACTTCCCCAAGTACGAAAGACGACGTACTCAAAAATGGCAAAATAAATGGTCATATGGCCCCATCCTGTTCTTGGAACCACGGGTCGCCACTGCCCAATGACAATGCTGAGTGGTGAAGGATAAACCTCCACCACCAACACCTTGCCCAAAAGCCAGATTGGCAAATCAAGCAGCAGCATTCTAGGATTCCTCAATGCTTGATAACAAGGTGACACAAGTCGGGTTTAAAGTTGCTCAATTACTAAACTAACTTTCCAGGGATTGCCATATGCCTCTCGATTTGCCTCTGACGCAAGCCTGCTAAAATGATCTGCGATCAAACGCATATTTGCCCCCCTGTATTTCATGCAATACAGCTTTGCAGCGGGCCAAAACCCTTGAACGCAATGGTCCCCTGTCTCTAGACTGGCTTTTCTGACCAGAGGTAGTTTGCGAAGCATTGCCCAGGATATACTTGAGTAAGTCATAGTAAGTCGGTATTTTGACGCGCAACAATGAACTACCCACAACTCGATTTTTGCGCTCTACTGAGCAAAGAACTCCAACATAAGAAACTCACAAAAATGGCCGCATCTTGGTTGGCAAGTACTAAGTTACAAACCTGGACAACAATTCATGTCTAATTACTAATTAAAATTGGCTGTTGAGTTGAAAATTGATTCCAAAATTTTCAAACACCAGTATTTTGCTTCGCCTATCAGACACAAGGAACCATGATCATGGTAAATCCATCACCATTGGATGGAAACTGGATTCCATTCCACCAGCCTGTGGTTGTATTCCAGCCAATTTGGTGGTGGCTGTTGGCATGAAACCGCATTGTGTTTGCCCTTCCAAAAACACCCTCACCGCAACCCTTCACATTGAGCGCTGGATACTTTCAGATTTTGGGGGTTGGGACCGTTCCTCGGACAACTGTCATGAATCAATGGAGAAAAAACGTGTCTTTTGGTATGCAGAAGATCTATTGCGGCAGAGTTGAGTTCGAAGGTAAAACACGGAAATTGTGCCGCGCATGCCTGGCCTCACGGCCCAAGCTGCCCTGGCAAAAGTACGCAGCAATTACTTTGCGCCTCACTTTTTTCTTCCCTTCTCCTGGTCTGCTTTGCAAATCCTTCGGTTATCTCCTGGCACGGCCACACTTCAGCCGCGCAATTTTGCATTTTCGTTTGTGGACAGCAGCGCGTTGGCAAATGTTAGAACGTTAAGTGACAAAGCAAAGTGGTTGGAGGGGCTTGCCGCAAATCCAAATTGACAAGACGACCAGTTGCATACTACTGAAATACCATCCATTCATCTACGCATATTTAGAACCAACAATTGCCAAAATACACCAGATAGTGCCCGGCCCATGCCGAGGCGGGAGATTCCGAAAAATGAAACGGCTATAAGAAATCAATGGCCTATAGGAAAGTCCTTGCGATGCAGATGCAATGAATTGCTGAAGTTGTGAGGCGCATCAGCGAATGAGCAGATTTTGGTTGAGATGCCAGCGGCATGACATGAAAGAATCCACGCACAACTGACCGAATGAACCAATGAACCAATGAGCCACTGAATGATTCAGTGAACTAATGAGTCAATGAGCTGGTGCATCAGTGAAGCCATGCATCAGTCAATGTATCGAGGATTCAGCGAATTAATGACGGAGTGACTTTGTCGCTGAATCACTGAAACAATGAACCAATGAGTCAATGAGTCATCCGAGCATAGCGTGCTTTGTACGTTTTGACTTGGAAATGTGCCTCGCGCCACATCAGCGTGTATTTTTTCAAAGGCTCAACTTCCGAAAATGCTCCAGCCCCATCATGTTTTTACACTTTTGACCTCCAACTATGCTTCGCGCCGCAACAGCGTGAATTTTTCAACATCTCAATTCCAAAAGCGCTCCGGACATGAGGTGCTTTGTGCATTTGGACTTCGACATCTGCTTGACACCACAACGTGCACTTTTTCAACATCTCAACTTCCAAAAGCGCTTCGAAAATGAGGTGCTTTGTGCATTTTGACTTTGATATGTGCTTCGCGTGACAACGGCGTGCAATTGTTCATCTCTCATCTGGCCAGATGGCTCCGCACCTGCTGCTTTAGCAAGCCTACTTTTTCGACCCTCCGGAGCCCCAAAACATTGAACAAATACAGCGCTTCGCAACTTTTCTACCTTTTCGCGCCTGACCCTTTCTCTTCTCTGATCTTCTTTCATGTTCTCTTCTCTTCTCTGACTCTTCCCGCCTCTGCTTTTTCATCTGTTCATAGTGTCGGAAGTTTGACGTCTAAACTTCCTCGATAAGTACGCATATGGCCAAATGCATCTCATATGCTTTTCACACAATCTGGAAAACCCCTAGATCCACACTGAATGGTAGTAGGCCTTTTCGTCCGCAAGCACTCGCAGAGCGGTCGTGGCAATGTGATCGTCATCTTCAGCTGCCTGGCTTAAAAACAGGTAAATGTCACCATATTAGGGGAAAGATGGGGATTTAACATTTGACCACCAAACATGGTGAAACAAGTGTAATTTCAACGAGCTGAACCACCAAACATAGGGATTAACCAGTGCTTATGGGAAGACTATGGAATCTTTTGATGGGGGAATAGAGACAGGGGTATTCACCACCAAACATGGTGATATATGACAGGTTACGAATGGCTTAGAGCAATCTCACTGAGGAGTTTGATTATGTAGATCCTATGTTCTTGGGGCGTCGTCTGATGAATGGCAACTTTCTCATATGTGTTTGCTTGCGTTTTTGGTCCTGAGCAATTTCCAAGTGATCTTGATGTCGCTTGGTCGCATTCCTGATTTTCATGCAAGCGTCTATCCCAAGTATGATATCTGCTGGTATGCTATGTTTTCTGTTTGGGCCTAGCTTGCTCTAGGGGCCACTTTTTTTTGGACCTGCAGCCGAAAAATGCTTGCTTCGATAAATGCTGGCTGTTCTGATGCTTTATTTTCAAAACAGGGCACCACCAGCGTGCACAAATTTGCAATATTTTCCAATAGTTTTCTTCAAATTATCTAGAAAAACAATTATTTATCTGCTGCATGTCTGTTGGCCTATGCCAATCTGCTGCAAAGCGAAAAGGAAAAGGCAGAAAAAAGGTAATAAAGAACAAAAAACAAAAACGAACAAAAAACCAAAAAGCAAAAAAACAAAAACAAAAAACCAGGAAAAACAAAAAAACAAAAAATACAAAAAACACGAAAAACTCATGAAAATAATAAAGATTGGGTTCCTTGGGGTTAGTTTTTTTTTGTTTTTTGGTTTTTAGTTTTTTTTTTTGGTTTCTTGTTTTTTTTTTGGTTTTTGTTTTTTTTGGTTTCTTGGTTTTCTAATTCGTTGTTGGTTTTTTGAAGGGTTGGCAAAACACCACAAAAGCGAAGGACCTAGACCTCACTCTTTGCAAGTTCTCCCACTTTAGGGGTTGCAAACTTGCTTTTGGTTGATTTTATTGGTTGCTTTGTGCCTGTGGTTCCATTAGAAAACCATGTAAAACACAGTGGCAAAATGCTGGTATCACTGGAGGAAGCTTGGGGGGCTTGGGACACAGACTAGGCAATTTTGTCTGTTTATATATGTTTTCGAAACTGTGTTGAACAAATGCAAAAACATAGGCAGCGAACGAATGAGTAGACTTGAATATCATATTGACACTGTTGGCTCAACCCTTGAGTTAATACATATTCAAACACTTTGAAGGATTCCCTTGAAAAGGAGTGATGCATCTCTTTGAGGTGAGTGTTACCTTCAACAAGTGCATTTTTTCAAAATGGTAGAGCATCCCATTGAAGTAGGTCATGTCTTAGTCTACTTCTATGTCAAAAATGAACCCTCTTGCACATGTAATTAAAGTTCTTTTCACAAGATATTTTCTTACATGAAGACCGCATGGTACATGTAAGCACGTCAGATATGTCCCTCACAATTGCACATAATTTTTCTGAATGCATAAATTGATATTCTTCCAAGACAATGAACCATGTTTTGGGAACAACACCCCTTGGTGTAGGCAGCTCTCGTCCTGAAAAATATTGTAATTTGAAGAATGTGCATCTTTAAGTCTTAAGACAATCAAACATTGTTTGAACATATGGTATATTGTGTGCATGTAGCACTCTTTTGAAAGAGCATGGTCGTCCTTGAAGAATTTGTTATTGAATTTGTGCAACACCTCCTTGATATGAGTGAGATATTTGATTCAGCGAAAACATTATTGTTGGATTGTATGGAAAACATTTCTTTAAGTGAGAGTTGTTTAAATGAAGGCTGGGCTGATCGACCAGGGGGAAGAGTACACATGTCAAACAAAAGTAATCCAGTTTTCCCAGAATGCTGCTTCTTCACCGGATTTGTTATGCCATGCAGGACAATATTCTGTTGTTCAGTGGTAAGAGGCGAAAGAAAGAGCATTCTTTAATGGCGCTCACAGTTTCAAACATGTTGCACTTTTGAAAGGAATGCTCTATGTCAAAAATACGGCATATATTTTGCAGAAATACTGACTTTTCTAGAAGGGGTACTGCTCCTTTGAAAGGATGGTTAGTGCTGATGTCACCCATTGTTTCCATGACTTGTCATAAGCATGATGCATTGACATGTCAACTTTCAATTTGCACCAATTTGCATATCCATTCATGCAGCTGTCCATAGCTGCCCCTTTGAGACTCAAGAACGCAACTTGGCAGAAAGGCCGAAGGTTCGTGCTGTGGGAGGAGCTGGAAGGGCACAAATCGAGAAGAGTAACAAGTTTATCCATTTCTACATAGCCGAACCTACTTGACTACGTCAGTAGGTTATGAGCCCAACGGCTTGAATTGGGAAAAGACATGGCAAACATGCAAAGGAGAAGAAGAGCAACTAGAGAAGAGTTGAACCAAGGTGAGGCTGAGATGCAACAAGCGCAAGAACGCATGCAAAGAGAGGCAGAGGTTAGAGGTGAACTTCCGCTTGAGGATCAACAAAGTGTAGGAGGTGGAAGGGATCAGGGAGCTGAAGGTGTAAGTGCACCACCAATAGAAGATGGTAGTTTGGAGAATTCTCAAGGAACCCCCAAAGCTAGTCCATCCGGTGCCCATCCAGTTTCCGGGTCAACAGTCCGTCCACCGACAATGCCTCCAGTGGATCCGCCAGAAGTTCCATCGGAGGACCAAGCGTCAGCAGGCATCAAGACCCCTGCAGACACCAAGGACAGATCTAAGGAAAGTGGTGGCTCTCAGCAGAAAGTGTCACCGAGCGAGCGTTTGGGAACTGCAGTGGAGGGGGACAGAGATAGAAGTGTAGGGTCGTTAGTTGAGCCACTCTTCACTCCTGAACAGGTTCAACATTTCACTGGATTGTTTTCGCAAGCACCATGGCTGTACACACAACCTCGATCAGCATTTTCTCCATTTTTGCAGCGTCCACAGTTTTTAGAACAAGAGGAGCTCAGAGCTAGAGAAGCATCTGAGAACAGAGATCAAGAAATGGAGAGGTTGAAAGAGCGTTTGATGCAAGATCAACTAGAAAGAGAAGAAATGAGACAGTCCATGAAATTCCTGTTTGAGGAGAATCGTAGGCTGATGCAAAAGTTGGAAGCTCAGGAGAAGCAGAAAGAAGCTGATCCGAAGTTTTCGACACCAGAAGAGGATCCGCGAAAGTTGAAGCAGGCTGGAGACCCCCAAAAGGAGGCTGAGATACCCCCCCGAAGTCAGGCTGCAGACCCCGAAAAGGAGGCTGAGATGTTTCCCCGGAGTCAGGCTGCAGACCCCCAAAGGGAAGCCCGAAGCTCTTATAAGGAGGCCAGAGACCACCAAAGAGAAGCCCGAAGCTTTTCCAAGGAGGCTGCAGACCCCCAAAGTGAAGCGGTCATGTTTCCATGGAGGTTTGGAAGTGAAGAACAGCGTCATTCTGGCCAAGAAGGAACAGGACAGAAGGAGTCAAGCAGTAGTGAAAGCTTTGCAGAGCGATCGCTTGGCTTCATGGCGCTGATGATGGAATCGATGAAGGAAATGCAAAAGAAGATGCTGGAGCCACGAGAGGAGGCTGGAATGGTCCGAGGTGTGGAAGTGGTTCGGACTGGTGTCATGGAGTTGCCAGCCCTTCAACAATGCAATCCAGCACAAGGACCTCTACAACTAGGAGATTGGTTGTTGATGATCGAACCAGTTGCTGCTGACATGTCCACCACAAGCCAAGAATGGTGGGGCGAAATGACCAAGGCAGTTGAGACTTGGTATCAGCAGCATATGTCAATGAACCCTTTGGATCGAATCTCTCATGAAGTCAAGCCTCCTCCTCAGCTGGTTCAAGATCGGTGGCAAAGACTGGAAAGGAGGATGTCAACTATGCTTCTTCAGGCAGTACCAGAAGGGGTGCGGGATGAATTGGTGGCTGGACGAAAAGTTGGAGTGTTCAGCATCCTCACACACCTCTTCCTCACCTACTGTCCTGGGGGAGTCATGGAGAAACAGATGCTTTTGCGCAACTTGGAGGAGCCACCGGAAGTATCCCAGTTGGTTGAAGCAGCAGCAGAATTGAGGAAGTGGCTGAGGTGGAAAACACGAACAGTGGAGATAGGGGCGGTGGTGCCAGATGCGGCATTACTTCTCAAGGGTTTGAACAAGATGACAAGAAAGGTTTTAGAAAGCCACAAAGACTTGCAGTTTCGCATACAGCTGGCGAGATCAAGCCTTGGAGTTGATACATCTCCCACTGAGCTGACCGTCAGCCGGTTTGCCACCCATCTCTTGGCCGAATTGGACCAGGTTGCTTTGACCGAAAAACGTTCTGGAGGAGCTCCCAAAGTTGAAGGTCCAAAGCTGAAGTCCCTGGAAACAGAGAAGCAAGACAAAGGAAAAGGTAAGGGTCAAGAACGAGGTCAAGAAGAAGGTCAAGGCAGGCCGAGGTGCAAGTTTTACATGTCAGATGGAGGATGCAAGAAGGGAAAGCTGTGCGGGTTTTCGCACGACTTCAAGGATGAGAAGAAGAGGTGCTGGACTTGTGGAGCAGTTGATCACTTCTCCCCAAACTGCAGTCGTCCAAAAGGCTCTACAGATGGAAGTCCAACAAGGGCGAGGGTTCTGAAGACAGAAGGCGAAGGAAAAGGAGGAGTTCAGAAGGATGTGGAAAGCTCAAGCGTAGCAGGAAGTGAGGCAAGCATCAAGGAGTTGATGGAGGAAGCCAGTAAGATGTTGAAAAGTCTTACCAGCGCAAACACCACATCCAGCAGCTCAACAACAACAGCATCAACAAGCAGAGAAGAAGAAGGAAAGGAAGAAGTGATGGATCGGCTGCAGCAGCAGCTGAATGCGTTGAGGCTGAAGACATTGAGATTGAGAAGGTTGGCAGGTGGAGGAGTGCAGGGACTGTTGGACTCTGGCGCGACAAATCCACTACGACCACTGAAGCCGGGGGAGGAGACCACCAGCTACCGTCAAGTTGAAGTGGCGTTGGCCAATGGTGGAAAGACTCAACTGGCGATCACCCGTGGAGGCACACTGGTGAGTCCTGATTTGGACATTGAGCCGATCGTTCCGATGGGCTTGCTGATTGGCGTTCTGGGCTGCAAAGCTACATGGGAAGAGGGTGGAATCACAGTCATCCATCCAAAGATTGGCAAGCTGCCGATCAAACAAAGTGAAGGATGCCCACAGGTATCACGTCAGTTGGCTCTTCAGCTCATTGAGGAGATTGAGGACAAAAAGCTATGCATTGGCGAGGTGGCATCCGATTTCACCAAAGAAGAGGCATGGTTGGAAAGGCTGATCAAAGAACACCCAGTGCTGTCTTCTTTGCCGTCTTGGATTCAAGAAGGCCTCAAATGCGAAGTTGGAGAATGGAATCACCTACCATGCAACAAAAGGATGAGAAAACGAATGAAGCGAGATGGCTATCTTCTTCATCTGTTTGCAGGTCCTGATCAAGGCTTCACGCTTCATCGAGCTTGGCATCAAGTTGGAGGAGAAGGTTGGCAGTTGTTAGAAGTTGATGTAGAAAGAGGAGAAGAACAAAATCTTTTGAAGTCCAAGCTCTATGGGGGGCTGATGAGGACGGCATTAGAAGGGAAGATTCGAGCCATCATTGGAGGCCCGAACTGTCGAACAAGAAGTGTGCTCAGGCACATCCCAGTTGAAGGACATCCAGAAGCTCCGCGACCAGTGAGGCAGTGGGGTGGAGAAGAGTTTGGAAAGAAGGATCTGACAGATCAAGAACGAGAACAAGTCAGAGGAGATGACCTGCTGATGTGGAGGATGCTCTTTCTGCAGATGGTGTCAACATATGCAGCAAGAGCGAGAGGAGCAACGAAAGATCCGTTGTTCAGTTTGGAACAACCTGCCAGTCCAAAGAGCTACAAGCCAGAGGTTGTGAGCTTTTGGGATACAAAGGAATGGCACAAGCTGAAGAAGGAGTTTGGATGGTTTGAGGAGACGTTCGAACAAGGAAGTCTTGGAGGAAAGTCACCAAAGCCGACGACCTTTGGAGGTTCCCTCAAGCTCACGGTGGGGGAGTACAAGACTGGCGATCGACGTCACCCAGAAAGAGTGAAAAGCTCAAAGGAGTTGTCAAGATGGCCTCCAGCATTGATGAGGATGCTGGCGACCGAGTTGATGAAGCAGGTCTACAAGATGGATCCAAAGATCAAACAGCTCTCTTGGCAGGAGCACATAGCATGTGGGCACATCCCATACAGAAGAGATTGCAGAGTGTGCCAAGAAACAAATCAACAATGCGCGCCACACAGAAAGACGCGCCACGTGATTGGAGGAGTGCTCTCCATCGACACGGCAGGCCCTTTGATTGGTGCCTACGACCAAGGAGGAGGAATGGCAAGGTACTTCTTGGTGGGAGCATTGACATGGAGGGTGCCAAAAGGTCTGGAGAAGTTGAAGCAGCCGGCACAAGAGCCCTTAGAAGGAGATGAGCCGAAGATCGAAGACAAAGAAGATGTAGAAGAAGAGGCCCTGGAGGATGGAATCTTTGGCGATTTGCCACCAATGGGTGCTGACAACAATCAGGCACCAGGCGGTGAGTTGGCGGCTGAGTTGGGGTTGGGTGGAGGAGCCCCAGTCCGCCTCGCTGCCCCGCCGCGGAGCGATGATGTGGCTGAGTTGGGGTTGGGTGGAGGAGACCCAGTCCGCCTCGCTGCACCGCTCCCGGGTGAAGCTGCCGCTGAGTTGGGGTTGGGTGGAGGAGACCCAGTCCGCCTCGTGGCGCCACCCGAAGAAAAAGGGCCAGAAGACCTTGAAGAAACAACTGAGGTGAAGGTATTCAGGTTAGCCCTACCCATGATCACCAAAACGGCCCGAGAAGTGAGCGCGACAGCCATGGAGTTTGTGCTGCGGCTCCGGGCGGACGGCTTCCACATAGGCCGAATTCACTGCGACAGAGGCCATGAGTTTGAAGGAGCCTTCAAAAGGTGGGCTAGAAGCAGAGGCATCTATGTCACCAAGACAGCAGGAGACGATCCACAGGGAAACGGACGGGCCGAAGTAGCAGTGAAGGCCATCAAGTCCCAAATCAGGAGGACACTTCGACAAGCAGGCCTTGATTCAGCACATTGGCCTTGGGCTCTGCGCTATGTGGATGAGCTCAACCGGTGTGTGAGGAAGGGCATTCAACCAAGCTGGCCCCCATTTTACCAAGAAGTCAGAGTCAAGAAAAGAACATGGAGAAGAGGAGCCTTCGAACCAGTGGTCGAGCGTGTCCACTACCTGTGCCCCTCGACAGAGGATCATGGGCACTGGGTCCAAAAGCAGGGAGAACCTCCACGAGTCACCAAGTTCATCATGGAGAAGACCACAGAGCCGGTTGAAGAAGGCGCATGGATAGCGCTTGAAGGACGCATAGTGGATCCATGGAGCACAAGAAGAAGGCTGAGAGGAAAGACTGCGGTGAGGAGGGTTCATCCTACGTTGGATCAAGAAGGTGAAGATACAGAAACAGATAAAAAGAAAGAAGAGGTGAAACAGATCTATGCAGTGATTGAGGAGGAGATGAGAGGAATTGTTGATGAAGATCCAGAAGTTGCATCTGGAATCATACACGCTGTTGCAAGGCTGCGGAAGATTGCAACAGCGATAGAGGAGTCAGAAGAAGTACTCCAAACAAAGATCATTTCACCCAAGGAGGTTTCAAGAAAGTGGGGGGAATGGCTGGAATCTGTGGACAGCGAAGTTCAGTCGCTGACAAAAGACAAGCAGGCCCTCAAAGAGCTGACAGCAGAAGAACATGAGGAGCTGAAGCAACAGGCAGAGAGAGAAGGACGGCGGGTAGAATATATACCGTCGAAATTGGTCCATGTGGTGAAGGCAGGTGAAAAAGGGGGGAAAAAGAAAACAAGATGGGTTGTGTGCGGGAATTTTGAAGAAAAGAAAGAAGGAGAAGAGAACTACAGCGGAGGAGCTGATGCAACAGCTTTTCGCATTCTCATTTGGTGCTGCGGGAAGTTTCAATGGAGGGCTCAAATCATTGACGTGAGAACAGCATTTTTGAATGCTGATTTGGAACTCACCGAGGAAGAGAACCTTTTGTTGATTCGTCCTCCACACATCATGATTGAGAAGGGCTATCTCGCACCCAACACCGTCTATCTCCCTGTCAAAGCGATTTATGGTTTTCGCAGGTCACCAAGATTGTGGGGGAGGCATCGAGATCATCGTATGCACCAGTTTGTCATCAAGGCGGAAAAAGAAGGAAAGAACATCGAGGTCAAGCTCTTTCAAATGGGATCTGAACCCAATCTTTGGAAAGTTGTGCAGGTCATGGGGGAGGAAGAGGATGAGCTGGCTTCTTTGTCCAATGGCAGAATCCTTGGACTGGTGATGACTTACGTTGATGATGTCTTCATCGCTGCAGAAGGCGATCTGGTGGAAGCCATCACTGCGAAGTTTCAAGAAACATGGACGACATCCAATCCAGAGGAGGTGTCAGAAAAGCCAACACGCTTTCTAGGCATGGAGGTGGAAAAGATCTGGTCTGAAGAGAGAGAGCGCTCTGAGTGGTTTGTAACTCAGAGTGGTTACATCAAAGATTTGCTTGAAAGATATGATCAAGGAAAAGAAGAAAAAGAAAAGAGGATTCGAAAGATTCCAATCTCAAGGGATCTTGCCATCATGGAGGAGGATTCGCAACCTCCAGATCTCAAACGAGTTCGCCAATGTCAACGCGAAGTTGGCGAGCTGCTGTGGCTGGTGACGAGAACACGTCCCGACATCATGTACACCATTTCACGCATGGGGGCACATGTCACAAAGTCCACAGTCAAAGTTTTGGAGGCAGCAGAACAAACAAGAGACTATTTGAGGGGAACATGGGATCAAGGTTTGAAGTTTGAAGAAGGAAAAGAGAAGGAGGTGGTCATACAAGTTTGGTCAGATGCATCGTTTGCACCAGAAGGAGAAGAATCACATGGCTGCTTCACAGTCATGGTAAACGACTCTGCATTGCTGTGGCGCTCGGGGCGTCAAGCCTCAATCACCTTATCCACAGCTGAAGCAGAGTTGAACGAAATCATCGAGGCCATGAATGCAGGAGAATCAGTGGCCACCATCCTGTATGAGTTGTTTGATGATGTGAAAAAGATTGCCTGGTCAGACAGCCAGTCAGCTTTGTCCATCTTGTCAAGTGAGGGCGGGAGCTGGCGCACACGCCATCTTCGAATGAGGGCATCATATGCCCGGCAGGCAGTCCTTTCCGGGGATTGGGCAGTTGGTCATGTCCCAGGCGAGGAGCTGAATGCCGATTTGGGCACAAAGGCGCTGTCTTCCAACCGCATTGACAAGCTCAAGGGTTTGCTGGGCATGGCACAAAGACCAGATGAATCAAAAGAAGAAAAAGAAACGAAGAAGGAAGTTGGAGAAGATCAAAAAGAGAAGGCATCAAATGCGTTCAAAGTATCTCAAGCCGCCACTGCAGTCAAGCTGATCACTTTGGCTGCCATGATTTCTGTTGGGAAATCAGAAGAAGATGAGGAGGAAGAACATGGAGCGAAAGAACTCAAAGTAATGATGGTTCTCTTCGCCATCGCCATTGTCCTGTTGACCTTGTTGGGTCAGATTGTGTGGAAGGTAGGAGTAGGAAAGCTTCGCCAGGTCATCAAAGATCAATCTGAAGGAGCCGACCGAAGTCTCCCTGCACAAGGAGATCAAACAGGGGTTCAACAACGAGCCCGAGAAGCAGTCCGTGGCACAGGGGGTGAGCAGGGGTCGAGCGGCTCATCTGAGCCCTTGGTCCGCCTCCCTCCTTCGGTCCGGGTGGAAGAGGAAAACACCACCCGACGGGTTGAGATGGGGTTGGATCAAGGAAATCCAGTCCGCCTCCCTGTCCCCGATGGAGAGACATCAAGCTCCTCGGGTGGGCCGAGCCCGGCTGCTGGAAGCATGGAAGCTCGAATTGAAGAAGAGCTGATCAGAATCATCCAAGAAGAAGCAGAAATGTGGAGAGAAATTCGACAGACTCCACTACCACCAGTGATCATCGAAGAAGTGGAGGAGAACGATGCAGAAGGACTGCGATTCAACGTTCTTCGAACAACGTATGGTGTGGTATACCACAGTGATCGATCCTGCAGGCATCTACAAGGTCCACGAGTCGGACAGCCCCGACCATTCAAATGGTGTCAGGTTTGCAGAAGGGTTGCCTTGCAAACGAGGGGAAGGCCACCACCAGGGACTTCACTCTATCTTTCTGTAACTGGCACCGCAGCACACTCAGATGAACGATGCCCATGGATCAGAGAAGGAAAATTGACCCCGTTCTGTCAAACGTGCCGAGAACGAGAGGGGTAGTTTGCGCCACGGATTGAAAAATCCTTACGAATTTTCAATGGGGGAGTGCTGATGTCACCCATTGTTTCCATGACTTGTCATAAGCATGATGCATTGACATGTCAACTTTCAATTTGCACCAATTTGCATATCCATTCATGCAGCTGTCCATAGCTGCCCCTTTGAGACTCAAGAACGCAACTTGGCAGAAAGGCCGAAGGTTCGTGCTGTGGGAGGAGCTGGAAGGGCACAAATCGAGAAGAGTAACAAGTTTATCCATTTCTACATAGCCGAACCTACTTGACTACGTCAGTAGTTAGATACCTGGAAATGCATGCTGCACTCCTTCAAAGGGCATGGCGCAACTTTTCAAGCAATACATATATTTTGTTTGGATATTGGCCCTGCAAAAACACACGGCATTGCCCCTCTTAAGATTACTATTATTCAGAAGGGTATGTTTGTTTTGAATACTGCATTTGTTGGCAGGCATGGGGATGTTGTATTTATTTTGAGTCATCTAGCATATTCTGCAGAAATTGTGTTTTGAGCAAGGGGCCATGAAGAAGAAGAAAAAGAAGAAGAAGAAAAAGAAGAAGAAAAAGAAGAAGAAGAAGTGCATGAAGCAGAAGAAGTGAGGATCTGAACTTCTGAACGATAAATTTATCTCGGTAATTTCATGTGACGAGGGTTTTTATCCATGCAATCACCAATTATGTATTGTGTTGCTTGCGCATGTGAAGAACTAGTTTTGTTTTGTTTTCAAGCATCTTTAACATGATTTGTTTAGTCATACATGGGATGGAAATCTCGTCAATATGAGGTTTGGCTTAGAGGCATGTGTCAACTGACACTTAGGTGAAGATACTCAGCATCTTGAAATGTCTGAGAAACCGCACGCTCACAGTCCCCAGCTCTCTTTATTTTCCAATAGTTGCTTCCTTCTCTACAAGATTCGTAAAGCTAGGGCGCCAATGTGTGTTGCAGCAGGTACCTCAGAGTGATCGGCCGTGAGATCCGCATGTACTGTGGCCGCTTGGTTGGACAATCGCTCACAGTACATGGATGGCCGCCCTGGTTGATCACGGAGCCGGTGCACAAATCATGAAATTCAAAGTCATTGAAATTGAGGGAACACCCTGAAATCCCATTGGAATGTTATACACACGCATGTATACGTGTACGTACATGTCGTGTATATGGTACAGGCCAGGACCCCCCTCCGCCAGGGATTTTGCACAAAATGTGGGCAGAATGTAGCGGGATGGGTGTGGGTTAAATAGATAGCTAACGATAGTTAAGTGTGCCCGGAAGTATCATGTAGATGGTGTATAGGTGGCACGAGGCCAGCATGTAAGTACAGCATATGAGATCTTGACAGCGAGTATATGACCACTGTAAAGATGCTGCGTAGGCAGTAGGTTTTATCTAGCTTCATCCATGCGCCCCTGGCAGGATGGGTACAAGGTAAAGAGGTATCATGTAGGTAGTGTATAGGCAAAATGGGGTTAGAGTGTAGGTATAGCTTATGAGAACTTGACACTGGCCTAAAATATGGCTACTGGGAAAATACTGCATAGTTGGCACACACGTTGTAAATAATAAGCTGTCTGTAGGCCGTACCTTGCCCAACACGCCCCTGTGGGATGGGTGGGGTATTTAAGTAGTGAGCCTCGTACAGAGGCATCATTGAGGTAGTCTATAGGTGGTAGGACCCCCGAGCGGAAAAAAATAATGTTTCCCCTTTCTTTAGTATCATGTTTGGTGAGGTACGTTATTTGTGAGGTCGCGCAAAGTAGACCGGACTTGTTTTGCATTGAAATTCATTCGGCATGGAAATCATGCCTTGCCTTATTTCTCAGGATTAGTTGAATTAAAAGAATCGCACGAAACCTCTTCTGGTAAAGTCAAAACCCCTTAAGTTCCTGTAAGTCTTGCCATAATCCAGTCCATGGCCAACTTCAGAAAAACCTACAACCTTTGATGTTTGATTTCGTCAAATGCTGGAGAGTTTAGAAACATATCAGAACAGGCAAACCTGAGATAACCTGTTTGACAGTCAGTTGTGATTTCAACACATCTGGAAACCTATTGGTTACCTGCGCCCGGCTCGTTGCGGCCTTCACGGCCTTCACGGCCATCACGGCCATCACGGCCGACGCCGGGTCGCTCGAAGATGCTTCTGGCGATAAGTCGGTTTATTAGGGATATCTCATGATATAAAACTAGATGCGGTTAAAGAACGACTATCTAGGGGCACACTATGCAGTAATAACCCCTTAGTAAACAAACCCTTAGCAAATAAACCCCTAGCAAATCCTTAATAATGAATCAAACTGTGAAAAAAATCTTAGTAAACCCATGCTTTCCAACTTCTGAGTCTGTGGGTTCAAAGCAGCTTTGACTCGTACCCACAAATACTTGTCGCATACATCAGAGAGTCATGGTGGACTTATTTGCAATACATCCATGGGTCTCGGCAAAATGCTATAATTTTCAGATCAGACATGCGCCCTATTTTTTGATGATACCCCCTTCTTCCCATCATTTACCTACTTTTACGGCTGGCATAGTGCAGATTGATATGTAGCAGATTACTATGCATACATACCAAGTTGGAACCCTGCCTTTATATGCATTTATTGAAATCATAAATATGTACTACCTATCGATCGATCGATCGATCTATCTATCCCGTCTATCCTATCTATCGATCTATCTATCTATCTATCTATCCATCCATCCATCCTATCCTATCTATCCATCTATCTATCTATCTATCCATCCTATCTATACTATCCACCCTATCTATCCTATCTATCCTATCTCTCCTATCTTTCCTATCATCCTATCTTTCCTATCAACCCTATCTATCCTATCTATCCTATCTATCTTATCTATCCGATTTATCTATCTTATCTATCTTATATATCTTATCTATCTTATCTATCTTATCTATCTTATCTATCTTATCTATCTTATCTATCTGTGCTATCTATCTATCTATCTGTCTGTCTTGCTGTCTGTCTATCTATCTATCTATCTATGTATCTATCTATGTATCTATCTATCTATCTATCCATCTATCTATCTATCTCTATGTATCTATCTATCTATCTATCTGTCTATCTATCTATCCATCCTACTATCTATCCTGCTTTCTGTCCAATCCATCCTATCTATCCTATCTACCCTATCTACCCTATCTACCCTATCTACCCTATGTATCCTATCTATCCTATCTATTTTATCTATCTTTTCTTATCTGTTCTTATCTTTTCTTATCTTTTCTTATCTTTTCTTGTCTTATCTTATCTATCTATCTATCCCATCTATCCATCTATCCATCTATCTACCTATCTTTCTACCTATCTATCTATCTATCCATCCATCCATCCATCCATCTATCTATCTATCTATCTATCCTATCTATCCATCGATCTATCTATCCCATCTATCGATCTATCTCACCTATCTCACCTATCTCACCTATCTCACCTATCTCACCTATCGATCTATCCCATCTATCGATCTATCTGTCTATCCATCTATCCATCTATCCATCTATCCATCTATCCATCTTTCCATCTATCTATCTCTCTCTCTATCTATCTATCAATCCAATCTAATCTAATCTAATCTGATCTAATCTAATCTAATCTATCTATCTATCTTATCT